AAGACAGGAGATTTAGACAGGAGTTAGCCCGAATTGGAATCTTGCAGCCTGGTGTAGTGGGAGAACGTGGGAGACGGAATCACACCTTCCTCTGGTTCTCCTCTGCCACTCACTCGTACTGCCTCTCTGGAAGCTTCAGGTCCCTCATCTACAAAAGGATGTGACATCCCTTTGGGATCCCTCAAATAAAAAAGGTGAACTTTATTAGAAGGGGGCTGTGTAGGGAGCTCACAGACTCAAAGAGAAAGTTGGGTGCACCGCCTCTAGGGAAGACAGGATCTGGGGGACCCAGATGGCCATCTCTTTAGGGCACAGCCTCATTGGGATGACCCTGCTCCAGTCCCCTTTTGTCCTCAACTCCAAGTCCAATATCCAGGATAGAGGACCTGATAGGTCTGACTTCTGCTGAGCCCTTGGGAACTGCACTGAATGGGGAAGAAGCAGTTCCCTGAAAGAAAAGCAGGAGGAAAGCTATATTTAAGATGTCATCGTTCTTGTTGTGAAGGACTCCTTCCGTTTAATTAGTTCCTCCGGGAGCCAGGGAGATCCCCTTGCTAGAACAGCTTTAGACAGGAGGAACACGTTGTTTGGGTTTTAACTCCTGCTGAAGGGGTTTTGTCAAAAGATTGGCCTTCCCCTGGCCGAGAGCTTAGTTGTGGATGATAAGCACAGGCATTCTCCTCTGCAGTCTCCCGGGACGACTGGGTGGTCCCACTGCATCTAGTGCTTGCGGCCTCCCTCCCCCATCGCAGGAGGACCAAGGCGGCCTACGACTCTAAGCCCTCTGTCCCCTCTCGCAGCACTTGCGCCTGCGTGGAGTACTATGGAAAGGCTCTGGAGGCCCTGGTGAAGGGCGTGAAGGTAATGTGCATTCACGGAAAGATGAAATATAAGCGCAATAAGATCTTCACGGAGTTCCGCAAATTGCAAAGGTGGGTTGGCTTCCTTGGAGATGGCGGATCTCCAGCCACTCTGCTCTTTTGCAGGTCGCTCTGCCTTGAAACCTCACGTGTTCCCCTGCCTGGAACTCTCTTCCTCCTCAACCTGGTTATCACATCTTCTCTGTATAAATATCCAGAGCCCCTGCCCTCTGTCCTGACCCCATTACACTTTGCTACACTGACTTCCTTACTTATCTGTCAACTTCCCTGCTAGGTTGTAAGCTCCATAAGAACGGGAACCTGTGTGTTGTGTTCGCTCCCCCAGTGGGGCTTTGGTAGCTGTTTGTTGAATGACGGAACAGACAGGAGCAATCCATTAAAGGCTGTAGATTGTCAGCTGGTGGCTAGGCTGTAGGGAACTTGTGACTCTAGTGAACATAACTTGATTCTGTTTGTGCATAGAAATAATACTTCTCTGTGTTTCTTAATCATTGAGCCTTCTGGCTATGTTAAAAGCAATCTTTTAGGCAAAGTGATAGAATTGATGGATACATGACAGTCTGGGAGGGAAAATTTCATTTGTTTTTTTAAACGGCTGCAAAGGATTAGACCAAATACTGTGGTTTTTTTTTTTTTTCTTTTCCCTCAATGGAAATATGCTAATTTAAAAAATCTTTCCAGTGTTTCCTCCCCACCTCTTTACAGATTTCACTGACAACTTGTGAAGTCCTAGAGGTTCTTAGGAGGAAGAAAAATCAAAATGTTATTCCTATATATTTGCTTCTGTGAGAGATTCTGCAACCTGTGTTATTACTGTCATCCCTCAGTAAAGACTGCTTGATGGTGAGGGAAACAGTGGCCTCCTTACTCAGTGTGGTGTTTTCTCATTTTCTAGTGGGATTTTAGTGTGCACTGATGTGATGGCCCGAGGAATAGATATTCCTGAAGTAAACTGGGTTTTGCAGTACGACCCTCCCAGCAATGCCAGGTACAGCATGAGAGAATGTTACCCACTCTGTCTAGGAATCTAGCTTAATGAAATAGGAATCCTGAGGAAGAAGACATAATGGTGGTTGTCACAACATTACGAAATAGCAAAAATAGGGGAACTGGTGAGTTATCATTGATAGGTCAATAGTGACACTGTATTATCACTGAAATTTCAGTCATTTTCAAATACTTTTTTTTTTTTTGCGGTACGCGGGCCTCTCATTGTTGTGGCCTCTCCCGTTGCGGAGCACAGCCTCCGGACGCACAGGCTCAGCGGCCATGGCTCACGGGCCCAGCCGCTCCGCGGCATGTGGGATCTTTCCAGACCGGGGCACGAACCCGCGTCCCCTGCATCGGCAGGCAGACTCTCAACCACTGCGCCACCAGGGAAGCCCCCTCAAATACTTTTTAATAGGTCTTTTTTATTTACTTATTTATTTTTAAATATTTTGGCTGCGCCGCACAGCATGTGGGATCTTACTTCCTTGACCAGGGATGGAACCCATGCCCCCTGCATTGGAAGTGCAGAGTCTTAATCACTGGGCCATCAGGGAAGTCCCTTAAAGTTCTTGCAGAACTGCACAGGATAGAGTGTTTAAAGGAGAACAATATATACACCATATATGAAGATGTCAGTTATTCTCTGAAAGCAAGCATATATTCCTGATAAATGCCTCCAAACATAGGAAAGCACCTGTAAATACAAACTCCTAAGCAATAGTTGTTACTTCCGGGGGGGGGGGGGGGATGCGGTTCCTCATAGGTCACTTTTATTTTCTTTTTTACGCTTTTCATTGTTTTTCAAATTTTCTGCTGAGACTGCTTCCTCCTACCTGTACCGTCAGATAGGCATAAATTTAAAAGTTTTATAGTTCATAGTAAATGTCTAACAGAACCCTCTCTGGTTTGCACGTGTACTTTAATAGCCAGCTCTTCTATAGCACTAATAAGCGGCGGGTTGGTATAGAGCTCCTCAGGTCATTTTAGGTGCATCAGCCTTGCGGCTGCAGGCCTGTGCTCTGCTCGGCCACCGTCACGTGGTAACCGTGTTCCTGCCCCTTGTTCACAGTGCCTTCGTGCATCGCTGTGGCCGCACAGCCCGCATCGGCCACGGTGGCAGCGCACTTGTGTTTCTCCTTCCCATGGAAGAGTCGTACGTCAATTTCCTTGCAATTAACCAGAAAGTAAGCTGTCTTCCTTTTTCCTACGGAATGTCCAGTGCTGGGGTAGTTGAAAAAGTTCTTTTCCAGCAAGTGGGGTCCAGAACTTAGATTAGGGGTTGCAGACACACAGGGGCCAGGCTGGTGATGTCCGTGCGGGAACCTGGCTGGCTTTATGGCTGTGGAGAGGCTCTGGGGTACGGCCACTGCTCGGCCCCAGCTAAGTATCACTAGTTGGGAACATAGACCTATGTTACCATACTTTCCAACCAGAAATCAGGATTATTAGGTAAAATCTCATTTTAAACTTTGCTTTAAAATTTTTAAAATACTTTCTGGACCAAGTAAAATACTTTGCTTGGATTTGGGCTTCCAGGCCTCTGCTTTAAGATTAAAATGGATTGTTCTGCCTTTGGTTTTATTGGCACTGGCTTTTATGGGGTAGCCTTGGTTGGGGATGAGGGGATTCCAGCCAGAAGTGATGCTGTGGTCCCTGTGCAGTGCCCCCTGCAGGAGATGAAAGTCCAGAAGAACACAGTAGACCTCCTTCCAAAGGTCAAGTCCATGGCCCTGGCCGACAGAGCTGTGTTTGAAAAGGGCATGAAAGCTTTTGTGTCGTTCGTCCAGGCTTATGCAAAGCATGAGTGTAACCTCATCTTCAGATTAAAGGGTAAGTTGGACTTCCTCACATAGTTGTATCTCCATCTGAAACATCTGGTGGTTTTAGAAGTATTACAAGTATGAAAACTGCTTTGTTTGATAAAAACGTCAGGCCTTATTACTCAGCCATAAAAAGAAACGAAATTGAGCTATTTGTAATGAGGTGGATAGACCTAGAGTCTGTCATACAGAGTGAAGTCAGAAAGAGAGAGACAAATACCGTATGCTAACACATATATATGGAATTTAAGAAAAAAAGTCATGAAGAACCTAGGGGTAAGACAGGAATAAAGACACAGACCTAATAGAGAATGGACTTGAGGATATGGGGAGGGGGAAGGGTAAGCTGTGACAAAGCGAGAGAGAGGCATGGACATTTATACACTACCAAACGTAAGGTAGATAGCTAGTGGGAAGCAGCCGCACAGCACAGGGAGATCAGCTCGGTGCTTTGTGACCACCTAGAGGGGTGGGATAGGGAGGGTGGGAGGGAGGGAGACGCAAGAGGGAAGAGATATGGAGACATATGTATAGGTATAACTGATTCACTTTGTTATAAAGCAGAAACTAACACACCATTGTAAAGCAATTATACTCTAATAAAGATGTTAAAAAGAAAAAAGTCAGGCCTATGCCAGGCTTAATGTATTCTAAACATTTAAAAGAAAGTCTTCCTGGGAATTCCCTGGTGATCTGGTGGTTAGGACTCCGAGCTTCCACTGCAGGGGGCATGGGTTCGATCCCTAGTCGGGGAACTAAGATCCCATGTGCTGTGCAGCGCAGTCAAAAAAATAAAAAAAAAATAAAAGACAGTCTTCCTTGGGTTTGAGTAGACAGAGAATACGCTGGCTGCCGAGTATTCCTTTTTAGTAAAAATGTAATTATTTTAATTCTAATTAAAATGAGCCCGTTAGATCATTTAGGTGGACAAAATTATATTGTTATGAATGTTCTGTGGGTTGATGCCTGTAACCCTGTTTTGGGCGTGCTAACCGCAGTGTTTCGGTTTAATCAGACCTCGATTTTGCAAGTCTTGCTCGAGGTTTTGGCCTGCTGAGGATGCCCAGGATGCCAGAGCTGAGAGGAAAGCAGTTTCCAGATTTCGTGCCTGTGGATGTCAATACAGACACCATTCCATTTAAAGAAAAAATCAGAGAAAAGCAGAGGCAGAAGCTATTGGAGCAACAAAGAAAAGAGAAAACAGAAAATGAAGGGAGAAGAAAATTCATAAAAAATAAAGCTTGGTCAAAGCAGAAGGCCAAAAAGGAAAAGAAGAAAAAACGGAATGAAAAAAGGAAAAGGGAAGAGGTAAAGTTTGCATTTTTATTATTTAAATACTCAACTTAGAATTCTGAACAAGTTTCACTTAAGTGTAGTGTATAGTTATCTTCTAATAGGAATTGCATAGGACTCTCAGATTTCTATACTCCCTTGGTGGCTTGGGTGGGGAATGCGCTGTGTTTGTGGAAGCTGATCTAAGAGCAAGTAGTTACTGATTAAAAATTGCTGGTTTCACTTAGAACACTGTTGCTGAGAAATTCAGTAGCTTGTTGATCTCTTCTGCACTCAGGGTTCTGATATCGAAGATGAGGACATGGAAGAACTTCTTAATGACACAAGGCTCTTGAAAAAGTTTAAAAAAGGCAAAATTACTGAAGAAGAACTCGAGAAGGGGCTGTTGACGAGTGGCACAAGATCAGTCGAGACAGATTTGGGGATCTCAGATTTGGAAGATGACTGCTGATTCCTGCCGCTCAGGCGAAGTGCACGAGAGCAACGGCAATGCCACGAGCTGCCCTGCGCTCGCAGATAGCTTGCGCTCGCGTCTACTGAACAGCAGAACTTCAGCAGACGTCCGGGAAGAACCACATCTCCCAAAGCTGCTGTTGCAGACGGCAGAGATGTGAGGGGTTTCACGCTCATGAATATGTTATGAAAAACATACCAGCTTTTGGAGTCTAACAGAAGAAAATGTAAATTAACTGAGTGTAAATAACAGATGTCAGTATTTATTTTGATGGGTTACTCAAAGAGCTCATTGTTTGGTGGCTATTTTATACTTATTTTTTAACATAGAGATACTGATGTAGACTTGATTTTAGGCCTTTTAAAATTCCTCAGTGTTTTCAGGCACCTGATCTCCCTGGATGTCCTTCTCCCTGGACTTCAGTTCTCTCTTTGATGTACTGTGCAGAACACCTGCACAGCCCCTAGTACTGTTTTATTGATGAGTATCTGAAAAACAGAGGAAGCAAGTCATTCTGGAAAAGAAAATTATTATGCCTTCTGTTGAATAAACTGTATTTCATTCTAATTGTGCCTTAAGTGTGTGAAGGTGGCTGCATAGTGTCTTTACCACGATGGACAATACATTTGGGCCTGGGGTCAGCTTGCAGTACCGATGCAACGCCATATCAAAATCTCTCATACAATTTGAAAAGATGCTGAATTGTTCCCAAGAACAATTTTAAAAAAGCTGTTCAGGACCCAAACATGTTTAAATTCACATCTTTCCCAGATACAGAATTAAAGTTTGCAAATATTCTGGAAGGCGTCTTTGTAAGTGGTGAGGCATGCAGGATACTCCTGCCAAAGACGCTGTTTCTGTCTTGGGTTCTCATGTTCACTGCTGGAAGCCTGATGCAGATTCAGCAAGTGTTTCCTGCCTTTCTCACACGGCACCGTGTAGCCTGCATCCTGGGTGGCTGTTGGTTGCTGGAGGGGCGCCTGGCCGCAGTTAGGACCCCTGCTCTCTTAGGCCTGCATGGCTTTCATTGATGCTTCTGGCAGATAAGTCTGGAGTGTGAGGAAGATGAAGGGAGGGGGACGGGGCACATCTTCTTTCATCAGTCAAGTAGCCAATAATCTAACTTGTATTTCTGGAAACTGGAAATGAATGAAAGTGTCTGGAAACCATAAGCACAATTTAGGTTGGGTTCTAGGGGAACCATGAACATATTTTAGATGGGACTGAAATGAATAAAAAATTCTCCAAGACGTATGACTTTAAGTCCTTAGTCAATAAAATTTCATAAAAAAACAATTCAGTTTTGGCCTGGCTCACTGAGGGGCCAAGAGGCTGCTCCCAGCATCAGCTGTTCGCCGGCAGGAAAGGGCCCGGCAGTTACAGATAGAGCTTGATGAGTTCGTCGCTGACTGCTGAGGGCGTGAGCACCCCCAGGTCTGTAAACAGCAGTGTGATTAAGGAAGGGGAGGTGTAGTCGACCCACGGGTGCTCCTCTTTGAGATCCTGTTCAGTCTGCGTGGACTTCAGAGTATCTGCCTTGTACTGAGGAGACAGGAAGCATACGTTAGTCTGCCCCACGTGTTCAGGGCTCTGAACTGGAGAGGCCTTGGCCTGAGCTATTAGTGTGCTCCTGCCTCAGAGTGCTCTCTGGAAACGGGGGGAGGCCAGCTGTGCAGCACGCTGGCGAGGGGGACGAGTGTGGCTTGGGTGAGCAGATCATTAAAGAAAAACTTAAGCCACGTGTCCCCTCACTGGTGTGCTGGATTAACTCCTCCAGACCTCTCAAGACAACCATATAGAGCATTTATAGAGTGCTTACTAAGTGCCAGGCACTGTGCTAAGTTCTTCCCATGGATTATCTCAGAATTGTCGTAACCCTTGTACAGATAACTGAAGTTCACAGAGCTTACAATGAAAGGACTTGCCCAAGGTCACATGGTTAGTAAGTGGTGGAGATGGCAAGTGAGCCCAGACAGCTGAGCCAAAACTTCGACTATTAACCAGTTTCCCCTGCCTCCTTGGCCTGTATCTAGTGCTTAATTGAATGAGAGACAAAGACTTAAATTCTGGGGACAAATTAGGCTGTTCAACAGCCACCAACTTACCTTTGTATCCTGAGTATTGGAAAAAATAGTGGAAGTGAATAACTTAATGGAACATTCTTAGCACTGCGTTTTTCTTCAAAGGTTTCAGCTTAGACTCAAATACCCCTTCAAATATGTAAAACTCTTGCCTTAAACTTATCTGGGACATCTTGCTGGTTTAGTGGGAAGAGCCGTACAAACTTGAAACTTTCTGCAACAACATAAAAAGGTTTGTTCTGTGCTTTGGCACACACGGCCATCTGGTTGGTTCCAATCTGGGAAGTCGGAGAAAAGCGGAGAAGGGTGAGATCTTATGGCATATCTGAAGTGGAAGCAACAGAAAGTATATGAGTGAACGTAATATATGTACTTCTGGCTTTGGAATTACAGAAGACCTTTAAAAAAGAAAACACGTTTCTCCAAAGATATACAAATGGTCAATAGACACATGAAAAGATACTCAAGATTCTTAGTCACGAGAGAAACACAAGTCAAAACCACAATGGGATACTGCTTCACATCTACTAGGGTGGCTATAGTTAAATGAACAAGTGTTGGCAAGGATGTAGAGAAATTTGGAATCCTTGTACGTTGCTGGTAGGAACGTAAAATGGTGTAGCTACTGTGGGAAACAGTTCGGCAGTTCCTCAAAAAGCTAAACACAGAAATACCATATGACCCAGCAATTCCACTCTTAGGTATATACCTCAAAGAATTGAAAACAGGAACTCAAATAGGTAATCGTACACCCGCGTTCCCAGCAGCATTAGTTAACAATAGTCAAAGGATAGAAACAACTCAAGTATCCATCAACAGATGAATGGATAAACAAATGTGATGTGGTACATTATGCAGCCATAAAGAGGAATGAAGCACTGACACATGCTACAATATAGATGAGCTTTGCAAACATCATGCTAAGTGAAATAAGCCAAACTCAAAAGGACAGATATTGTATGATTCCACTTATATAAGGTACCTAGAATAGGCAAAAATCATGGAGGGAGAAAGATTAGGGGATGGGGAGAGGAAAATGGGGAGTTTTGCTTAATGGTCACAGTTTGGGGTGATGGAAAAGTTTTGAAGACAGACAATGGTGATGGCCACACAACAATGTGAGTGTAATGAATCCCACTGAACTGTACACTTAAGAATGATTAAAATGGCAAATTTTTATGTTATATATTACCACATACAACAAACTATCGTGAAATCTTTCCATGTTAAGCAACAGATAAATTTTAAACATTATACTGATGTCAAATATGCTCCATTAAAAAGAAAAACCAACCAAAAACTCAATTCCAGTTAAAGCATGTTTTGAAAAAATATAAATTACATTCTCCTAATCTACACAAATCAGTCTCCAAAGCAGGAAGAAATCTGAACAAAATTTGACCGCTGCAATGGCTCATGGGAACTGGGAAGCCATTGGCTGCAGTGGTGGAGTCTTGAAGCTAAGCAGGGTTAGAGGAACGAATCGTTAACAATACAGAGCTAGCTGGATGTCTGAGGTCAGTGATGTAGCTCCACGCCCTGAGCAAGGGCCTGTGGAGAACTGATGCTCCTACCTTGTTAATGATTCCTCCGTTTTCAACAACTCCTTCAGCACCAACAATGACAAGATCCACTTTCTCCATGATGTAGCTAAGGAAATTAAAAACAATTTTTTAATGCTCCCTTTTCTTTGCTCTTCTTAGTAGCAACATCGCCTGCAAAGATTAATACTCCATTTTCACCAAGGTAAGTTCCTCTCATAACTGTCTTCCAAAGAGCACTGAACTCATGAGACAACCGCTGGCACTGTTACCGGTTCTGCTACAGGGGCACCAAGACCTGTTTTGGTCACGACACCACAATAAGACGTGTAACTCACCCTGCCACCCAGTAATGTACATGCATACGTGTGTAGCTGAAGCAAGGATTTCATGACCCGGCATTTATCCTTACTACATGTGGCACATTCTATTTTCCTTTCTACGTTAATACAAACAAAATTTAAAGACCTGATGTGATCTGAAGTTGGAAAAAATGTTATGTAATTCAAGAATCTTGCAGGTAGGCTGAAGGCCAATCTACCTTTTGAAATGAGCAATTAGGGACTTCCCTGGTGGTCCAGTGGTAAAGAATCCACCTTACAATGTGGGGGACGTGGGTTTGATCCCTGGTCGGGGAACTAGGATCCCACATGTCGCGGGGCAACTAAGCCCGTGCGCCACAACTACTGAGCTCGTGTGCCTCAACTAGAGAGAAGCCCGCGTGCCGCAACAAAAGATCCCACGTGCTGCAACTGAGACCTGACACAGCCCAAACTAAATAAATAATAAATAGATCTTAAAAGAAAATAAAATGAGCAATTAGTAGAATTCTTTAAAATGTTTACTCTTAAACACATTCCTAATTTCCTTAATCATCTCCTTATGTGTTTTCTTTCCAAGGGATTATTACTCCTGTTTTCTCTTGGGAGGCACGCTGCCAATCCATGGAGCATGTCACCTGGGCTTTAGGAGTGAAGTTGCACAGGTGAGACGAAGAATCCCAGAGTGCCACTGAGGGCAGCCCGTGTCTTCAGATGAAGAGGGAGCACTGGTCACATGTGCTGACCTGACCTCTGCACCTTGCTCTTAAAATGCACTATGATACCGCCATGTAAATGACTCCCCCTCTCCCTGACATCCTATAGCCCTGTCTGTACACTATCAAGGCCTTATAATGAGCTTGCTGGTTTAGCCCAGCTATCAGTTAAGAGGCGGGACGCTGCCCAGTCCAGTTTTATGAACGAGACTCAAACCTTCCAACTGGAAGTGCCGTTCCAAGCCACCCCTGGGAGTGGGCGAGGAAGAGTAATTGTGGCGGGGGAAGCCAGGCACTTACCCAACAGCGGCATCCAGTACGACGGTGACGGGGACACTGAGGTGGCAGAGGGCTTTGGCCATTTTCTCACTGAAAGTGACAGTTTGAGAACATTAGAAAAAAGTCCAGGAAGGTCTCCTAGTGGTGTATGGTGAGTCACTTCATTTGGACAATGATAAATCACTTTAGCTGGAAACTCAGTCCACATTAATGGATTAAGGGGCACATCCTGAGACTCTGGACTAAGGAAACAAGAATTTGGGTCCTTTAGAAGGAAGTATGTGTTTTAGGAGAACTGCGCTCTTGGGGATACAAAAAGATATGTAAATTCAGAAAAAAAGGGTTTTTCTTTTACTATGTTCTGGCTAGATATGAGGTGAATTATCTATTCCTTGATAAAAATCTTTCAATTGCTGTTCCTCTGACTTAAGTACTAACTAAAACCCCTAGATCCTGTACTGTGACCTACTTCAAATTCACGGTGATTTTTCTTCCAGGGGCAGGAATGGGCACTGTCAAAGGCAATGCTGACTGATTGGCAAATCAGGGGCCTATTCTGACTCCTCTTACAATGGATTCTAATCCTCAGTTTGCTCTTTAAAAGGACTGCTGGGCTCATAACCAAATGGAAGGATACTTGCCCTGATAAGTCAGGCTGTGACTCTGTAATGTACACACTGAAACGCTTCTTGGCCACCACGGCTGCTTCCAAGACTCTCAGGACCACTCTGGAGTAGGCGTGAGTTAATATTCTCTGTGGGCACAGAAAGCTCTGTCAAAAGGGCAAGCTTCTGGCGATCACCCATACTCTGTGACCCTCTGATGCATGTTCCTGGTACCCTAAAGCTTCTCCATATGCTTTCTCACAAATCAGCTGTAATCAGAAAGGAGATCCTTGATAGTACACTGACTTTAAGCCCATATACAAGCTGAAAAAGTTTTCTGCCAGAGGAATATATTATGGGTCTCCTCTTCCCGTAGCAAGCGCAGAAGTGACATCTCCATGTGGTGTTACTCAGACACAAAAGCCTTTATATCTGAAGGCTCTGTTAGGTTCCTTTGGGTTGGCTTCCCTAATTCTAAGACATGGTTCGCACGCTTGGGCATACAGGCACCAGGCAGGTAGCATAAAGGAATGCAGGGGGCCGGTTGGGGCCAGCAGCAGAGTGGAAAGGCTGAGCTCCAGCTGTTGTCATGTGGGCCCACTGTGGTCAGATCATCTGGTTTTTCTAGAGGCGCTGAAAATCCAATATTTCAATGTTAGCTAACTAATTTTTAAAAACTTATAAACGCTGTTTGGGGTAAACACAACCCATCTGTGGACTGGATACAATTTGCAGATACTCAGATGTAATCTCCGCTCCGGGGAACAGAGTGCAGACGACAGTGTAAGCAAGGAGGAGGGACATAGCTCCCTAGCTCCTTTCTGGGCCTCGCCCAAGAGCTTGTTAGAAATGCAGGTTCTCAGGCCCCACCCTTGTCCGACTGAATCAGAATCTTCATTTAAAAGATCCCCAGGTGGTTCATCTGCATTTTCAAATTTGAGCAGCTGTGCTGGAAATTTATCCAAAATAGCACTGATGCGGGTGGTTATTACACATTCAACTCCACTAGAGCAAACGAATCCTGCAGCGAGTCTGCAGAAGGAGAAGGCCTCGGCGAGAGGCAGTCACAGGCTTGCCTCCACTTGGCCCCAAGATGGCTTTGTTTGCAGCTGGCTTGTGTACAAGTTCCACTCGCATCTATTACGTCATTTATTTAATAACATACTCCAAAAAAAAAAAAGACTTCAAAAATTGGGAAAGGGGTAATAAACAGTGGACAAGAGTCCAGATGCAAGTGAATACTTTTATGGTCGATGGAGGCTTAGATGGCAGAAAGAAGGCGTGCTGCCGGGAGAGACGTCATAAAAGTTTTACGACCCCTTTGCTGGGAGACTGACTTGATGTGCAGCTCCCGTCTTTCCTCACTCAGCTTATGAACACTTGGTGGTATCTCTGTAACAGCGTTTGGAATGAAGATGAAAAATCTCAATCCAGTGCTAACATTCAGCAGGAAGACAGTCAGTATGAACCAATGACAAGAGCTGTGTTAATTTAATTCAGATTAATTTAGTACATATCCAGTAATAAAAAATACTTTTTTTAGTAAGACACCTTATCAAATCAAGAATCATCCATGCTGTCCCAGGGTTTTTCTCTGCCTGTTTAAAATGACAACCACCTATGATAATAATATCTACATTTAGACAGTGCTTACTATGTGCCGGGCATAGTGCAGAGTCCTTACACATACCATCTCATTAATCCTCACAACACCCCTATGAGGTAGGTGCTGTTATTACCCTTATTTAACAGATGAGAAAACTGCAGCACAGAGAGGTTAAGTAACTTGTCCAAGGTTACACAGCAAGTAAGTGGCAGAGGCAGAATTTCAGCCCAGGAGTCTAACTCCAAAGTCCTTGCTCCCAATCACCACACATGATCAAGATCTACTCACCGCCCCATCTTTGATGAAAGTATGGCACAGATCTGCAATTTTATTTCTCGACAGTGATGTTCTCCTGAGAAAAATCTCTCCCCGCTCAATCATGATCTTTTTACATTTGGAGTAATCCTAGGAAGAAAAGAGCAAAATGAGGTGAAGGGGAGGATCCAGATAAAGCTGAGAATATTTGTGGCCAAACAGAGAAACGGAGAGGTAACCGAGGAGGGCAGGGGCTTACGGAGTATTCCAGGGAGGTAAGGCTAATGAAGCGCAGGAAGAGCTCCCCGCCCGAGGACACGGCCACAGAAGAGTCCACGCCACACAGGGTTTCTATGGCACTGGTGAGATTCGCTCTCAGGCCCTGGAGTGTCTCCCCTGGAATGATTACACGAGGAATGTGACGTTCATTTTTGACCCTTGATGGGTCTGTGATTCACTCACTCATTCAACCAGTGTTTACTGGGTGCAGGCTGTATGCCAGGCGCTGTTCTAGATTGTAGAGATACATCAGTGAACGTGACAGACAGGGTCCCAGCTCTGACGGAACTCCCTTTCTAGTGGGAGAGGCAGACAGTAAACAAGCACACAAAGAAATCAACAAGTTAATTACAGACTGAAATGAGGACAGAAAAAAGCAGAATGATGAGAAAGGTGGAGCTACTTTAGACAGAGTTAACAGGGGTGGTCTCTTGGAGTGCAGGCCTAAGCAGAGACCTGAGTAAGAAAGGATCCAGCCGAGTAAAGATCCAGTGGGAAAAGTCTCAGATGCAGACTATAAACGCAAAGGTCCCAAGAAGGGAATAAACTTGGTATGAGAAACAAAGAGAGGCCAGAGTGAAGCACAGCTCAGTGAGGGACAGCATAGAAGGAAATTAAGTAGCAGTGACAGAAGAGGTCTGCGGGGTGGGGTAGGTAAGGCTTAGGTGTTTGGATTTTTTTTTTTAATACTTATTTATTTGGCTGCCCCGGGTCTTTAGTTGTGGCATATGAACTCTTAGTTGCAGCTTGTGGGATCTAGTTCTCTGACCAGGGATCCAACCTGTGCCCCCTGCATTGGGAGTGCAGAGTCTTAGCCACTGGACCACAGGGAAGTCCCAGGTGTTTGGATGCTATTGTAAGTGCAATGGGAAGATGCTGGAGGTTGTCTTAGAGACATGCATCTCTAGGCCAGCGCTTCAGATTAAAGAACACTTTGTTGGGCTTCCCTGGTGGCCCAGTGGTTGAGAGTCCGCCTGCCGATGCAGGGGACACGGGTTCATGTCCCGGTCTGGGAAGATCCCACATGCCGCGGAGCGGCTGGGCCCGTGGGCCGTGGCCGCTGGGCCTGCGCGTCCGGAGCCTGTGCTCCGCGGCGGGAGGGGCTGCAGCGGTGAGAGGCCCCTGTACCGCAAACAAACAAAAAACAAAAGAACGCTTTATTATTTTTATTGTTATTATTATTATTTTGTTTATACCCAGATGCTTACGTTTAGGATGTCTGAATAGTAGTAATCACAATGATGACATTAAAACCAGAATTTATACTGGAACATTCTCTACAGCAACTGCAAAGAAACTGTCACAAGACAGAAGCTCAATAAATCCTTGTAAAGCTCAACTATTGCTATAATTTAAGCTTCAAAGTTAACCGGTATAATATGGTCATTCTTTTTTTTTTTAATGTTTTTTTCTTTTATTTCTAATTCTTTCTTGAATTCTATCACTACATTTCTGTTTTTCTAAATCTGATTTATATTATGTCTCATGTCTTGTACCATTTTAAAAAAATTTAGCTCATTGTGAAATAGCGTGTTATGGTGTTTTTTTTTTTCTGGTTGTCGCTCTTTTTTGGGGGGTTTATTTATTTATTTATTTACGTTTTGGTGTGATTTCATTGTCTGCAGGGATGTTATTCTCATTCTGTCTTCCTTACAGTAACTTTTATGGGGTTTGGACATAATCATTTCATTTTTAAGTGAAATGAGTTTTCCTGATCTTTTAGAAAATGACTTCGTTCAGTTGTCTTTTCTAACCCCACAGAGCTCCCTCTTCCATTGTTTTATGTAGTGTTAAAAAATACAGTAGTTTGCTTTCTGAGATTTCTTGGTTCTGTTCTCCTCCCCAAATCTTTTCTGGACTTTCTCTTTCTTTCTTTTCCTTTTCTTTTCATTACCCCAACCTTCTGCAATGTTGATTCCACTCCCCACTATTCAGTGGGGACCCTGGCAGGAAGAAGCCCTGGCAGGTCAGTTTTGAGAAAATGTAGGATCTATGCTGGTCTAACCCCTTCAGTCCATCTGGCTGGCTCCCTGCACTCACCTGCTATTGTAGTGAGTAGAACCACAGCATCCTCCCAATTTCAGCTGCTACTCTCAAAGTGAGACGGTGCACCTCAGATTGGGACTTGAACCCACATGCCGGGACTCGAACCCGGCCAAAACGCACCGTCTTCCAACTGAGATCACACACCTGGCTTCAGGACTTAATGAAGCTCAGGTTCTTGATGTCTCATCACAGAAAGAATTCAGTGAGAGACAAAGTGATGGATAAGAAGTGGATTTATTTAGAGAGAAACACACTCCACAGACAGAGCGTGGGCCATCTCAGAAGGTGAGAAAGGCCAATATGGTCATTCTTGATTCAAAGTATATTTCATTGAAAGGAGACCCATTCAATGATAACTTGAGGGCTCTCTTCACATTAAAAGGACAGAAAAAGAGGGAGGAGCTGAGCTTGGGGCTGCATTACCTTATGTAGGCACACATCCATCTCTCACTTGCTACACTTCTAACAGTTATGAGCAGACTTTCCTAACACCTGGAGTGATGGAGGATGACCGTCTTTACCTTTATCTCTCCTCAAGTACTCCAGCAAAGTCCGGATGGCAGCTACTGCTGAGGCCATGTCAGGATCTTCTTTCATCTGAGACTTAAAGTATTCAATTAACTCTGGGAAGGGAGAAAAAAGTGATTCATCAAATTCATTTAGCAGGATAGACGACCAGAGAGCTTATCAATGACTGTTGACTTTAAAAAGCAAACTAATTTAAAAAATATTTTCTTGGGCTTCCCTGGTGGCGCAGTGGTTGAGAGTCTGCCTCCCGATGCAGGGGACACGGGTTCGTGCCCCGGTCCGGGAAGAGGCACAACAGTGAGAGGCCCGCGTACCGCAAAAAAAAAAAAAAAAAAATTTTCTTTGCAGGGTGTTTGGCTTCAGGGGCACCATAAATGTTGACGGGAATAGATATGACATCACTCTACTATTTGCAAACTCTTTCTCTCTCATTTTGCAAAAGCTAGCCATGTACAATGGCATAAAATTTAAGCCCCATCAAAAGGTAGTGAAAGGTCATTCTCCCCCTTATCCTAGACCCCAAGTCCGGAAAGAATCCCAGAGCCAGCCTCCTTACCGATTTCTCCTGCACCCTCCAGTCTATGCCAAGTCAAGCGTATTCACCTACATACATATGTACATGTATGTGATGCAGAGGTCCACCCTGCTCTCATTTTTTTTACATGAAAGGTACTGTATACACATTAGTTTGCCCTTGCTCTTCACTTAATAAAACACCTTGATAACCACATTAGACAAGCAAATCAAATACGCCTTTCTTTTAATTCTAGTACCAGATCCAACAGGGCAGGGAGTCTTACTCATACTTCACATATGAGGAAATCAAGACTGCGAAGACCTGCACATGCGTCCGAAATCTCACTTTTTTGGATGGCACTGGAAAGCGTGGGGAGAAGGGGTGTCCGGGGATACCCCCAGGACCCATTCCCTGCAGCGAGTGGTTTTAGTTGTGACTAGAGGAACCACATCCAGCTAAACAGCCTGAGCTTGGAAAGTGACCTCTCCCGGAGCCCAGTCTGGGCGTGCGAGGTGGAGGGATCCCTGCGCGGCTCCGCTTTAGGCCCAGCAGGCCCGTCGCGTCCCAATTTACCCTTGTCGTCCATGGTGCCCTCTGGACCGCGGGGCCCGAGGGGCCCAGAACCGCTCGCGCCACTTGGATGGGTCCAGCGACCGCGCGGGCTCCGAATCACAGTGACCGACAGCGTACAGCACGGCTCTGCACGGCTCTGCACTCCACTTCCGGCGCCTTGGGGGCGGGGCTGTGGCTACGGCTCGCGGCCCGAGCCCAGCATTCTCTTACGTCACTCGGAGGCGCCGGAAGTTGGGGTGCGCAGTACCCCGGAGGCCCGCTTGACTGCAAGTGGCTGTTCGCTGAGGGACACGGGCAGCCATGGTCTCAGACGGTGAGGGCTGCGATGGCGGGATCCGGACCCCGGGGCTGAGCAGACTTTACCCGGCCAGGACCGGCCAAATGGAGTATCAATATATTCTGGGGGCTGGGTGGAGCTTGTTTGGTCTTTAGAGGAGTAGCGAATGTACTCATTCAGTAAATATTTTTGGAGCGCCTCTTGTGTGCCCGGCGTTATTTCATGCCCTGGGAGATACATAGAGAACGTTACAGACTCGTGGAGGTTACCGTCTAGTGAGCGAGACAGACAGTAGGCAAGTAAATAAAAATAATTTCGAAGGGTGACAAGAGCTGTGACGACAATATAAAGTGATGATGGGGTCGATTGTGATTAGGAGATGATCAAGAAGGAGCTGCTTTCGATAGGGGTCCAGGGAAGACCAGTGATATTGAAACTAAGACTTGAGTGACTTTATAAAGACCCTGTGGCAAGTTGAGCCACTACATCGCAATGGGAAGACGGAAAGGGGGCACCCGGGGGGTAGAGGAAGGTGGAGAGACTTTCGTTCATACATTAAGCTACCAGTTATAGAGCCTGATATCTTAAAGGGAGAAAAAAGGCCAGGGTGGTGGGAGTAGGGTGGGCTAGAAGGATGAGATCAGGGAGCTAGCCAGGTGCAGGGCCCTTGTGGGGCTTGATCTCTATTTTAAGTGTAATACAAAGCCATTTTAGGGCTTTAAGCAAGGTAGGTTTACTATCTGATTTACGATTTTTTTTTTTTTTGGCCACGCAGTATTTTGCGGGATCTTAGTTCCCCGACCAGGGATAGAACCTGTGCTCCCTGCAGTGGAATCGTGGAGTCCTAACCACTGGACCTCCAGGGAAGTCCCTGATTTATGATTTTAAAAGATTACTTTGGCTGCTGTGTGGGAAATGGACTGCGGAGAGCAAGAGTAGAAATAGGTCCTTTCAGAGGCCATAACAATTGTGCACGCATCCTTCATCTGTTTTAATCAATATCACAGCCCTGCGAGGGACGCAGACCTTGTATGGCCCCTGTCTACAAATGCGGAGGTAGAGACCCAAAGAAGGAGATTCATAGGGACATTCCATGTGTATATGGATACACACCTCTCCTGACAGGCGGCACTTTCTGTTTTTCTCAGGCTTGATAGTAGCAAGGAAGGCCCTGAGAGTTGGGAGGTGGGACCTGATGGAGAATAAGGCCAAAGGCTTTTGGGTAGAGGAGTGAGGGCCTGTGGGAGACACAATTAAGTGCCTCTTCTGTGCCAGGCACTTTCTTCCGTGATTTATGCAACATTACGTTATTCATTCCTCATTCTTTGAGGAGTCCACGGTTTAGGGCAGAGCTGGGAAGAGAGATCAGAAACACAGCTAAGTGTAAAATGAGGTAGTGAGTGCTGTCATGAGAAGAGAAGTGATGCTGTTGGTGTTCAGAAGTAGGCAGTGGGGCTTTGAAAAGCCACAGTCATTAGAGTCAAGCAGATCTGTCTTCAAAGTTGGGTGTTAGCTTTGCTACTTGCTAGCAGGCCATGTGACTTAGAGCACGTTACTTTCTCTTGCAAAAGAGAAATACCATGTTTCCCCTAATCTAATAGTACTGATTATGAAATGTGCTTTTATTTTATTTAATATACCACTAAGAGAAAATAAAATGTGATCAGTCATAAGGGTAAGATACCTCAGTTCAGCATCTGTCAAACTTAAAAAAAAAAAAAAGAAAAGGAAAGAAAGGAAGGAGTACATCTTATAAGTGGTGAAAGATAGCAAAAGATAGCAATAAGTCCCTTGCTGAGTTGTCAGCATGGGATGGGATGATAGGATTACATGTGCCGCACCTGATGCAGAGGGGCTGAGATTTCCAGTCTCCTGAGATGGGGGAGCCAGGACCTGTCGGAAGACCTAGGGAGGACTTCTGGGTGAAGACGTAGCATTGGTTTGGGGCCTTAGAGAGTAAATAGGATTTGGGTATGTAAGCAGACATCAAAGATGGGGTGGGATTATCCTGATATAGGGAACAGGGAACTGGAGGGTGGAAAGTATGGGGGCAGGAAAGGCATTGTTGCTTTTTGCTATTAAATGAACATCCTGGGTTTTTCGTAACAGTGTGTGCTTATGGGTTCATATGTCTGTCACCTCAGAATGTAGGCTCCTTGAGGGCTTGGACTCAGTATCCTCAACACCTATCCCCAACACCTAACACTGGTACTTAGTGTAGATGTTTGTTGAATGAATATAATATAATAATATGTTAAGTTAGCCTCTTTAGTTGTGTCTGTCACTTTGTAGAGAGTAGCCTAATTTTTTTCACAGTAAAATCTTGACATAGCAAGTGCTTTCCACTCTGGTTTTCACCTGTCTTTTCTTTTTTTTTGGCCTCACGGTTTATGGGATTTAAGTTCCCCGACTAGGGATCGAACCTGGGCCCTCTGTAGTGAGAGCTCGGAGTCCTAACCACTGGATTGCCAGGGAATTCCCCTCGTTTTCACCTTTTAAAGATTGGTTCCTAAGTATAATTGGCCTTGCTGCTAGGTGATTTGTTGGACTTGGAGCCAAACTGATTCTGTGTCTCCCTTTAAATCTACCCCCCCCCCCGCCATTCCATGCCTGAAATTCTACTAGTGATTCTAACTACTGGTTAATCAGTGCTTTCTGTCCTTGACCAGCCATTTAAAATGCATATGTCTTTGGATTCATAAAATAGATACTTATTGATCATCCACCACATGCTAGGCATTGTGCTCGGAGCAGAGGATAAGCAGTGACAAAAGAAACAAAAATCCCCCCTCACAAAGCTTACATTCTAGTGCATGAAAGGTACAGATGTACAGGAGGCAAGCAAGAGCTTGCTAAGGGCCCCCAGAGCTTTAAATCTTTAAAAGAACTTGGCTTTGTGTTAATTTCATGATTGTAGGATGATAAACATGTAAAGGCATGTAGTGGTTCTTGCTCTGGATCTAATTTACAAATCGAGAATGTTAGCTTTGTTTCACTTTTATGAGGCTAATGTTTTTTATTTTTTGTTAATATTTTCAGAAGATGAATTGAATCTTCTGGTTATCATAGTTGATACCAACCCAATTTGGTGGGGAAAGCAAGCATTAAAGGAATCTCAGGTAAGATTGCTTGAGAAGGCTTTTGGATAATTCTGGTTTGACTGAGTATATGTTTATGTTGCCTTTTTATTAAGGTATAATTTACATATCATAAAATTCACCCATTATAATGTACAGTTCAGTGTTTTTTTAAAGTAAAAATCGCAGTAAAGTTGTTTAACCATCACCACAATTCCATTTTAGAACATTTCTATTTCCCCCAAAAGTTCCCTTGTGCCTGTTTGCAGTCACTGCTTCTACCCCCTAGTTGTAGGCAACCACTGATCTACTCTATGTTGACTTTCCTGGACATTTCATATATCGATTCCATATAATATGTAGTCTTTTTTAAAAAACACTTTCTATTTTGAAATATATTGTTTTGAAATAGTTACAGACTCACAGGAAATTATAAAAGTGGTACAGACAGGTCCTGTGTGCCCTGGCTTCAGCGTCTCCCAGTAGTAACATCTTATATAACTGTAGTGCAATAGCGAAACCAGGAAATTGACATCAGTACCATCTACAGCCTTTATTCAAATCACAGCAGTTTTGCATCCACTTGTGTGTGTATGTTTAGTACTTGCAGTCTTATCACATGTAAGATTTGTGTAACCCCAACCAGAATCAAGATACAGAGCTGGAAAAAAATAAAAAATAAAAAGATACAGAGCTGTTTCATCGCACAGGAGCTCCCTGGTGGGGGCATCCTTCACGGTTGCTGTAACTTTCTAGTCCCTGGTACTAATCTACTAATCTGTTCTTCATCTCTAGAATTTTGTTATGTAAATAGATCAGACAGTATGCAACCTTTGAGACTGGCTTTTTTTCACTCAGCATAATGCCCGTGATCTATTCAAGTTGTTCCATGTACAAAAGTTTCTCCTCTTTATTGCTGAGTAGTAGCCCATGGTGTGATGTACCATAGTTTGTATAATCATTCACCTATCAAAGCACATTTGGGTGGTTTCCAATTTTTGGCTATTACATAAAAAGCTGCTCTGAAAATCTATATACAGGTTTTTGTGTGGATGTAAGCTTTCATTTCTCTGGGATAAATGCCCAGAAGTGCAACTGCTGGGTCGTATGTTAATCACATGTTTGATTTTATAAGAAACTGCTTTACTGTTTTCCAGAGTGGCTATACCATTTTACATTCCCACCAGCAAAGTATGAGAGGTCCAGTTCTTTGTATCTTTACCAGCATTTGCTGTTGTGACTTTTTTATGTTAGCTGTTGTTATTATTAGCCGCACCTTGCAGCATGCAGGATTTTAGTTCCTCAACCAGGAATTGAACCTGGGCCCTCAGCAGTGAAAGCGCAGAGTCCTAACCACAGGACCGCCAAGGAATTTGCTCATTAGCGTTTTATCGGTTTTCATCAGACAAGTTTTGTAGATTTATACCTAAATACATGTTTTTTAGCAATTGTAAATGAGTAGTATGTTTCAAATTTTGGTTGCCACCTGTTTAATATTAGTATATAGAAATATGATTGATTTTTGTGTGTTGCTCCTATATGCTGGGACTTTGCTTAACTTATTTATTAGTCCTAGCAGTGTTTTTTTTTTTTTTTGTGGTACGCGGGCCTCTCAATGTTGTGGCCTCTCCCGTTGTGGAGCACAGGCTCCAGATGTGCAGGCTCAGCAGCCATGGCTCACGGGCCCAGCCGCTTCTCAGCATGTGGGATCTTCCCAGACTGGGGCACGAACCCGTGTCCCCTGCATCGCCAGGTGGACTCCCAGCCACTGTGCCACCAGGGAAGCCCCCCTAG